GAATCCAGCTTCCTCTTCTGGCCCCCATGAGAACTGCATTCTCAAGTCACCTGCAGATACACACACACACACACACACACACACACACACACACACACACACACACACACATCTTTTATGAAATGTACATCCAGTACTCATATAGCCAAGGTGAAATTCTCTGTCAAAGTGAACAAGAACACATTTCTTATTTTTGTGACAACCACTCTCATTAACTTTTTAGGTTTTTTTTTCAAGCTCCCAAGCATCTTTTGTTTTTCCAACCTTACAACACTTGGGATTTGTCAATCTATATCTGGAAAGACATGAAATGCATGGTACTCCTTGTATTAACTACAAAGCATTCATCTACACAGCCTTATCCATACTGAAGCCTGTGCCCTTTTTTTCAGAACACCAACTGGAACCTACCAGTTTCTTCTGCCTTTTGCTTTTGCTGTGGAAGAAATCAACAGGAGTCTGTATCTTCTACCAAATGTGTCTCTTGTATTTGACTTCGTCCCTACCAATTCTGATGATAAACAGGGATATCAAAATTTCACAAATATTTTTGATGAAATGGATACTCTTTTCTTTAACTACAACTGTGAAGATGAGGTCAATTGTACAGTAGCAATTACAGGACCAATGTCATCAACATCTGTGAGGGTGACACCATTTCTCCAGCTCTACAAATATCTACAGGTGAGGTTGTTTGGGTGGGAAAGTATGGAATCTTTCTCCTTAGTTGGGAAAGTCTATGCTAAGGAGGGTATAAAGGGGAAACTGTCTTCACATTCATGTAAATCATTTTCAAGGGTGATTAATCAGGCACTCAATGGGACATTACAATTCATTGTTGGATATATAGATGAGAAAAAAGAATTTGCAGTCAAGGGGATTTTCCTTGAACAAATTATAAAAACGTGATTTTTTTCATGTTTCTTTTTTTCTTTTATTTATTTTATTTTACAATACTATTCAGTTCTACATAACAGCCACAGATTCCCTTGTTCTCCCCCTTTCTGGCCCCCTCCCCTTACCCCCAGCCCACCCCCTATACACATGAACCCCCAGATCAAGGCTACCCCCAAGGATTGAGATCGACCTGATAGACTCCAAGTGTCCCTGTATAAGTCCAAGGTTTCAAACAGCTATCTCATGAAGCAAGCCCAGGACCTGGTACCACTGCCTAGATGACTCCCAAACAGATCTAGCCGATCAACTGTCTCACCTATTCAGAGAGCCTGATCCAGTTGGGGGCCCCTCAGCCTTTGGTTCATAGTTCATGTGTTTCCATTCATTTGGCTATTTGTCCCTGTGCTTTATCCAACCTTGGTTT